CACACCACTCTTGTGTGGAACAAAGGATGAATTAAAACACACTGTAATCTAATATATATGGCATATATGCATTTTTTTCGAATGATAACTTCTATTATTCTTCAACACTAAAAATGTATACTTCATAAATTCTTCTATGTTGATGATATATTCTATAAACTAGTCAGAGGTTACATGTTTACAAAATAGTTGCCCTCTTGTAGTATTCTTGACCTCAGTATGGATTAAAACTGCTACTACAAAAAGTAACTTGATTTACTTCAGTTATACCAGTTCCCTTTATTCCTAAAGATGAAAAAAACGTAACAACCAAAGTCTCCTCAGACTAAAACCGTATGTCTCACTGGAAAATGAGGCAAAGGTGTCCTTAAAAATAATATAGGAGGATAATTTATTCCATAGTATTAGCTACAGCCTGCTCTAGGTGACCCTGCTTCAGCAGGGGGGTTGGACTAGCTGACCCACAGAGGTCCCTTCCAACCCCTAATATTCTGTGATTACCTGGCTTATCTGTACATTAAAATAATTCAATGCTATGTGATAAATTTGACCTTAATTCTGAGACATGTATCTGAATATACAGGGATAAATTACAAAACCGATGTAGTATTTTTAGTCTTGCCAAGTCTGTAAGACGACAGACATGGAGATTTTATCTTAAAATATATTAGTGAGAGGTAGTTTAATTTTTAATACTAATTGTCACCCAGTTCAGGAAAAAACATGGTGGAGGTAAAATCAGAAGTTCACCTTAGTGAAAAACACTGCTACAGAATTATGTCCGAGTTACACTTTAAGAAGATTCTGTTTAAGGCCGCTCTCAAATAACTGGTATGGCAAGAAGCACCAGGCCCTATTCTAACGAGACAAGTGCAGTAAGATGAACTTTTACAGAGAAGTGTTTTAATCTGATTCATTAGGCAGAAACATTTGTGACTGATTACAAAACCTGTTACCACAGGAAATGCTTCTTTTCTCTCTCACATTCATATAATATTAAAAGTTCATCCAGAGATATTAACAGTATTACTATGAATTGTCAATTAAACATTAAATCTGATTGTACAATCCTACATGGTCCTCTGTCAGAATCTAAGGGCTCTTCAACAATACAACCCACAGTAGGTAAGAATTCACAAGACTGGGTTTTAAAGAGATGTATTAAAATATTTCATTTTGATCTTCACTTTAAATATCAGTACAGCTATTATGATTTTAAATATTATACAGTAATAAATGAAACAAAAAATACATGAAAATATCTATTTACTGAATAAACGCAAGCTCCTAATTTCTGCAACTGAATGCCTGCAGGCAAGTGCTCATGCATAATTCTTGTATTTCAGCGGGCTTACCTACAGGCCTAAACGGTCCTTACCAAGCTAATGACAATTCAGAGGCTCTTAGAAATACACTGTATAATAGATTATATGCACATGAAAACTCAATTCCTAAATTCCATTTTCATCTAGAAGTCAGAGCGAAGTGTTAAACAAAAATTTTCCTCCATGCAACCTAACACCTGCCAAGCATTGCAAAAGTCCAGAGAGTAAGCAGAGAGGAAGCAGAAAGAAAGAGAAAAGGGTACTGAATGAAACACTGGGCACAGGGGAAAATGTACAGAGAATAAAATATGGCATAAGATCAAAAATTAAAGTAAGCTACTGCACTGCAAGAAAGAATTAAACTATATAAAGATACAGCAAAAAGATATGAGAAACTCCTGAGGAAAGACATATGCGAAACACTAAGCACAGCATAAAAAATTAAGCAGTGTAAAAAGATTTAAATCAACAAGTTCGATTTTGATGAAAATATCCCAAGAGAAAATGCAAAGGTTTCTGAGCTAGAACATATAAGCAAAATTCCCAAATAAGCATCAAACCATATTTTTCTGAGAGGAATCATAATACACAAAATTTCAAATTGTGTAATAACAAAAAAAATAACATTAACAATACTTCACAATTATACAGTCCCCTAGATCAGTCTGTTATCTACATGGATATCTACGCTGGGATAAAATTTCTGTTTAGAGATCCTGGATCTGTCTTTGTAGGAGGGATCTATTTTATTAAAGAGGTTGTGGAACATCCATTATTTCAGCCTTCTCTCTGAAAAACAATATTGCATAATTTGCTTTCTGTGATGATTATTTTTCCTATTGTATCATCCAGTTTTCCCAGAAATATTAATATATGAATGTTATTTAAACACAACAACCTTCAAAAAGCAGTAAAATTAATACAAAAATTCCACACTGTCAATTTAGGTTTTTTTCTTATAGCAAGTATTATCAAGTGCTGTTGAAGGTTTCCGTATATTCATACTTCATCAATGTTACAATGATTTCTTGGAAAGTGAAAATCAGCTGTATGAATGTGTACGTCATCAAGCTATGTAATATAACAAGAAATAAATGTAAGTTTACAGACATATGAAATTGCTTCTACAACACAGGAATAGAGCTTTCTTCCTGCTGTGGAACATGCAAAGAATGACATTAGTGCCTTCTTGGAGAAATCTGCCTCCTCAACCTAGCCAATATGCTAATCTCTCTCTGGATTTGCTTTGAAAAGAGAATATAAACAGAAACCTGAGAAAAAATCATCCATGAAGACAAATTTAATCACAAACTGATGATGGACAGAAAAACAAAAGCTGTGTACCATTTGAAGATCTGATCACCAGAAGACCAGCATACTTTGCTTAGCCAGAAATATCAAAGGCAAAGCAAGTAGCCTTTACCTGACAGCACGGAACCCTGGAATTCTTTGCATCTGACTAATAACAGAAAACATTTCTGCTAAAAATTTTCTTTTTTTTTTTTTTGTTTAAGATTTTAGAAAATAAGCACCAAATGAGATTAAACAAGGGTATAATTAAGACATTATTCAAGAATTCTTAACACATGAATTAGGAGTATCCTCTAACTAGCATGAGGTATTTTTAAAATTTAAAAAAGCATGTAGTACACTGTATTTGATTAACTCTTTAATCTATGAAGTTCCGGATAAAGGACAACCGCACTCAAATATCAAAATATAAACTTAAGTTCTTTAGAAGGATCCTACTGTCATGAGGAACCATCAGAATACTAGAATTATTTTCTTCAAATATCAACAACAACAAAAATAGACTGCCCATAACTTTCCAATTATATCAAAACTTTTTAAAAAGGAAAAAAAATCCAGCTAACATGACCTTCAGTAGAATGCTTCCCTTCCAAAAACTAGATTATTCTTTCTTGATCTAGAAGAGAATTCTAGGTTTTTTTGCCACCAAAAATCAGTAAAATATAAGATAAAAACAACACAAATTTCTTTTGGAATTCTGCATTCAGGCAGCAAGTTAGTAGCAAGATACCAAGTCCTATTTGCAATTTCTAAAGCTCCCCAACAAACTCTCACAAACAGGCTGCCAATCTGAACAACAACTAGTCATCTCTTCCGAGCAATTGTGTATATTCAAAAGCTAACCCTAGGACACTTTCCTGAAATTTTTCAAAAACAATTTAGATCTGTGTTTTATTGTAGGAACAGAAAAATTACCTTTTCTTTTTACAGTATTTACATTCAATGGCAGATTTTGATTTTTAAAATCTGTGCATTTTGGCAATGTTTAATTTGAAAGAATTAAAAATCGAGGCTACATCTAAAAATCTGATATGCTCTTTATCATTCTTTTCCTAATAAATTAAAAAAAATTACTAATGTATCTTTGTACTAACGTAACTAGTAAAGTCATCCTACATACAGATACAAAAACATCCAAAATCTATCAAACACAACAGTACATTTTTCCCATTTATAATTTAGGAAACTGCAATCTTCTGTCTACCAGGAAAAGTGCCCATACACTTTGGGCTGATGGCTGAAGCTGCAGATACTTGATCATTATTCTGAAATCACAGTTTGTCTGAACCATGCTCTAATTCACAGTCTTCTCTGATTAAAATAATTTATTCACAGCCAATATTGAACAAAATTTCATTACAAAAATAATGCAACTCTAAATACCAAAAGCCCCAGTCAAACTTCTGCTGGATTAATCAATCATCTGTGCCTTGTGTCCCATATTCATAATAATTGTGCTGTGATCATTTATAGAAAATACTAGCAGTCGTTTAAGTCTTCATATCAAGCAAACTGAAGATACCTGCATTTGGCCTTTCAGTACTCACAACAAAATGTAGAACATCTACTGAACAGCAAAACACAGAAGCCAAAGCAGCATTACAAGGACTGTGCAATGAACACTGTGGCCCAATCTATCACTCAAAGACAAATTTTCTCCATGTAAACTTTCTTCCCTGAGAAAATTTCCCTTTTGTTTCAAGAATCTCTTTCACAGTTACCACAAGTGTATGATCCCACAGTTCTACTTACAGACATTCAGATGATAAATATAAAAACAAGTTAGTGTGCTTCTCTAATAATAATTAGAGCATGTATATATTTACATGTAATGAACATAAACAGCAATGCAGACATAATTTACTCTGGAGAAAGTTCTCACATTGCTGCATTTGATCAATTTATCTTCCTTAACACAGTAATAAGTCTTTCCCATGGCACTCTGAAAATAGGTATCTAACCTTAAATTCTATTTACAACAGAATGATAATTTCATAAGCTGTATGTTCTGTGCCTACTGGATATGCTAATAAATAAATGAACTTTAATTAAGGGTTGTAATTCCTTTGGTTTTGTTTCCAGCTATTTTTTTAAAGAAAAGAGATAACAGATGTGTTTAAAAAAAAAAATCTGGCTAAAGAATTCATATTGCTAGAAATGTATAAACCACATTGCTGTACCACACTGCATATTAAATAGAGTTTAATTTTGTTTGGGGTAGAAACAAGGAAGAAAAATCAAGACTGAAGAGTATGAAATTATAAAGCGTTTGAATTTTTGTGAAAGTACTTTAAGTATGTATTAATTTATATATTTTTGGTAAGAAACAAAAGCAGAATTCATGGTTACCATAGTTACACATACTCTTTGTTGTGTTTCAATGCCACATGATCTGATTCAAAGTAATACACATCGGGCTCGTCCTCATCATCCTCTGCAGTGTGGACGTTGGCACTCTCTTTGGCAGACGGTACATATCCAGCAACAAGCCTAGCCTCAGAATGTGGCTTTCTTAGTCCGTCACTCCCATGATCTCCCGTATTACAATTTCTCTCTTTTTCATTCTGTTTAATTTCTTCAGACTTTTGGGGAGATCCATTGATATTATTAATACCTACTTCTCTACAAGGAGAGTTATTTTTAGTAGGGCTACTTCTAGCAGGGGCAGCCCTTCGTGGTGAAGTTCTCAATGTGTATCTGTGTTCTTGAAGTTCTGACATAGATGTTATTTGAGCCGAAACACAGTCCAGCACTGAAGAATGTGGTTCAGGTTCACCTGAGATTGATGCACTGTCATGAGTATCCGGGTTGCTATTGGTGTTTTCAGCACACTGTTCCTTAGAGGCACTACTATCTCCTACAACATCCACCTCCTCCTCCGAATCCCTTAACAAAGATGACTGGATTTCAGAAAAGGACCCTGTAGCTGGCTCATCTGCCCGATTAGCATGATCCTCAGGCAAGCAGTCATTTATTATTTTGTGGTCCTCTAACTTTACCTGTTCTTGAGAGTTTGTGCAAGGCACATAATGGTCTACAACACTGTCCTCCTTGTTGCTATTAAGCAACAACGAAGAATGGGCAAATGAGTTTCCATTTTCTGCTACTGTTTTCTCCTTGGGCATACAGGAACCAGCACTGCTTTGCTTAGCGTTCCCATCAAGCTGACAGTCATCACAGTTCAGAGAATCTGAGTCTCTCTCACCAACTCCATTGACAGTCTGATAACCTGCAATCTCATCAACTATTGCAGAATTATTAAATCCTTCTGCACAGACATTCACCTTTTTAACTTCCCTTTTGTCACAATCATCCAATATAAGACATCGACAAGCTCGCTTAGTCCCTGTGGAGACTGCATCATTGTCCGACACTAAGCTTTTATGCTCCAATGATTCCTTCTCTGTTTTAGTAGGCAAGTCTTCTTCTGAACTGTTCGGTGCCTCTGAACGTAGACAGCGCTTAATTCTTTTCAAAACTGGTGAAACAGGTTCTGCTTGTTTTTTTTCACAATTTTCCACAGTTTGCTTATCAACATTGTCTTTTTCCGAAGTAGACAGTCCTCTCTTTCTAGGGCTCACCCATGATTCCCGAGCACTCTGCTGTTTCAAATCAGTAGTTCTTCCACCATTACTTCCCTTCTGAGCTTGCACAGATTCTGGCCTCTTCTTCGGTGACCTTGACCGTATTTGAGGATGCGGTGAAACTTCCTCTGGATGAGCAATACTACGGTTTCTTAATGTTCTACCACAAAAGTTTTCATCCAAACCATTTAAACCCACTGTAGATCTTGTAACACGAGTAGATCGAGAAGCCGCCATACTACGGCAAGTCCCTAAAGTATGTTCATCATGATCCACTCATTGGGAAACCTTCAAAAAAATGTAAACAAAACAGAAAAATTATTCAAAGAACACCTACAGACATAGAAAATCTGAAGAATGTATTGTCACAAATGTACCTAATGTAAAACTGAATATGCCTATGCAATGTCCTTCTTTCTGTGGTATTTCCTTAGGGCATTAAAAAAGTTTTCCATCTAAGCTACAAAGTAGCTGACTTGGTATTTGTGGTTGTTCTGGCTTTAGTACTTGTGTGTGAATGCCGTCCATATTTATGCCTTATATAAGGCTGGAATGTTCCAGTTAGGCTCCAGTTACTAAAATACACTATTTTTATGTATTGTACATATGATACCATGTATTGGTGTTATTGTTTAAGTTTCTCTGGTCAAATGAGAGGTATCACAATCACATTCTTAATACCCAGTTTCAAGTTACATGGTTTCACATACTAAGAAGGAAACCATTAAAGTTGTATTTGTCTGCTCACCTGTTGCTTAAAACAAATCACTCAAATAACAGAACAGAATTGCAATTCTAATTTAACAGTGGATTAAAAAAAAAAAAAATCAGACCAGTAAAAAACAGTTACACTCACTAATAGTAAAAATTAACTAAAACAAAATGCCTGAATCAGAATCATAATATTACTGAAGTTGGAAAGGACTCTGGGAGGCAATCTCCTGCTCAAAGGAACATCAAGACTAAATTCAGATTTAGTTACACAGGACATTGTGCAGCTGGGTCTTGAAAACTTTCAAGTACAGAAATTCCACAACTTCTTCAGGCAACCTGTTGCAGTGTTTAATTGTGCTCACAGTGAAAACATTTTTTCTTAGACCCAGATGGAGCCCCCCCTATTTTTGCATCATTTATGTAAACAAGAAGCCTCGCTCTATGCTCTCACTAATCTCCTATGAGGTACTGGAAGGCTGTTTCCCAAGCCTTCCCCATTTTTAAACTTTTAATACCGTTGGTGAGCTGAATCATCACCTACTTTGGATTTAAGTAAATTCAGACTCAAAGCTAAGTTTAAAACATCCACTTTGAAAGTGTCCATATTTCAGATTTCAGGGTGAAATGTAGGAGTATTTGACTCGTCCAGTATGAAAATAACATTTTCAGTAGAAATCAGTTCAGTCTTACCCTTCTATTCATTTAGTCTTTAGAAATTCAATGTGTCAAACTGCACATCACCACAAACTTGTCATAATATTCATGATAATGAATAGATTCACATTTGTACGTAATGGTATACCTTCCCTTTTCCATCTACCCAAATTCCAGATTATACAAACCTGTTTAACTGACACATGATGTGAAGACTTAAAATTTTAATATGGAATCAAACCTTTTACATGTTATTTAGAAAGGTTGATAATGACAAATGGAGGAAAACTGTTTCAATAAAAGTTTTCCACAGTACACGTCTTAACCAATACAATTATGTTTGACAATTGACAGCAATTACTATATTGTCTGTCATAATGCAAGTAGTATTTCTTAATGTATTCTAAAAGTATGGCTTGGTATAGCTCCAGATACAACTGTATACGACAGCACATCACACTGTGTAACAAAGAAAAGACAATTACACAGTGGAAGTTTCAACTGTTGTCAAAACTGCATTGTATTTGTGCTGCTACAGTTCTCCTGCTTGTTAGCTCCTCCCACTGCCTCACATGAATGCCTGGAAAGGTGCACTGTTTGCACTCCTGGAAATACAAGTAAAGAACTGCTATCATACTAACTTCCATTCTGTCCTTCTAAAAGTTAATGATGCAGGACAAAGTGTGAGATGTCCACTGAACTCTATCTTAAGAGAAAATATAACTAATATGACAAATAGCAAATGCGCAAAACATAAGCAGTCGAGTTGAAAAGAGAAAAATAACATTTAACTGTGTTGTCTATAATGGTTGTTTATACCTATTTTCCACATGGATAAATTTGCCTGTATATTCTCCCCTTTTACACACAAGCTCAATACCTTTTGAAGAGTGATCTCATTTGGGGTTGAACTCAAACATGAAAAACAGGGTAATTTAGATATTCATTTCACCTAGGTTCTTCAAATTAAGGCTAGCACACATTAAGGATACGTAACTGCCATGTCAAATGGATACCAATAAAATAAATTAAATCAAATTCCAATGTACACTTTGGCGAGTAATTACCGCTGAACTTGACAGACATTAGAAATAATATGTAAGACAGAAATCTTTACGGATTTGCTGGTATGTTACTTTCTAAAGAAATACACCTTACATACCAAGTTAAAAAACTTCTTTACTTAGCACAAAATGTAAAAATCTTACCATTGTAAAACTAGAAGAAATACAAACTTCTGACATTTCATACAGCAGACTCTCACTGCGCCACGTGAATAATATCAATCACCATCGCCGATACCCATGATGTAGTCCAAATGCCTTTTTACTAGTTTATGCCATCACATTAAGAAGATTTTGAAAACTGTTGAGAAGACAAATACATCAATAAAACATTTAAATTAATTAAAAATTAAAAAGACTGCAACATATAAAGAGTAACCGCTTCTGTAAATTTAATTATTGGTTCTTAAAATTTGTGTCCTACATAAAGAACAGTACACTATAATGTAATTGAAAAAGTGAAATGCTAACTTAAGTTTCAAATGTAAAATATCTTTCTTGGTTACTTCTAAGTGATTCACTTTATCACACTAAAGATGTGCAAGCAAATGAATTCACAACAGAGATGTGTTAGGGTGTTCAAACCTCAGAACATATTTGAAGAGACACAAGAAAACAAGTAGTGAAAGATATTACTACAACTAATGAATTATGAAATGTATTGTCAAATATATTTTAAAATTAGATACACAGTGAAAAACAGTTATTTCTGGTATTTACTTTTAATCAGCTGAGCAGAAATCAAAACTTACATTGCTTCCAAATCCCTGAATAACCTTCACCTACACAACAGGAGTGAAATGCTTTCCAGAGTTCACATGAAACCTATTCTTCACCCATGCAAAACAAAGTATACTACCTTGTTTACAGTGGAAGTGAACCAATTTTGATACTGAAAGAAATTAATCTATGCAACCAAAAGCCACACAATGCTTTCAGTTGTCTCCAGAGTTTGGGCATCAATGCCAATGCCCAACAGCTACTACTTGAAAAAAACACACCAGGAACCACATATGAGACCAATGTTGCACTATGGAGGCACCACAGATCACTATAAAATAGTGATTAGTGAATCGTTCCTCTTGTTCTGTTAACCTCATAAAAGTAAACTTATTTTCACACTGACTATTCAAAAACTTCATGATGAGAAACAAAAGCTGACAGCTTTCTCCACATTTTTCTTTCTACGCAGTTGTCATATTTAGATTATATACATCCAAAGCCTTTTAAATTGTCATCTTTACTTTCAACCTACTTATGATTTCATAGTGGTAAGAGCAGAAAACTAATTTCCCATTAAGTTGACAATTCAAAATTCAAACTGAGCCAAATAAGAGAAGAGAGTACTTATGTCTAGTCACAGTGAAATTTAATAATGAAAGATATTTCTACAATGATGCTACATGAAGTACCATAAATTCTATTACATGGATATCTAAATCAAATTAGATTCCCATTATTCACTGGAATTTCTTAATTTAACAAACAGTAGAGAACTGTCATAATAAAAGACAAATAAAGAACGGAAAAACAAGCAGGCAAGGAAAAACACTTGGAAAAGCAAGAGATAAATGACTAAAAGGAATGAGCAAAAAGGAGCAGTTGCTACTTAGCCATACCAGGAATGGAAGAAGAAACAGTGAGAGATGAACTCCATGAAGAGCTCCAATATCAAGTGACTTCAGCCTGTGTCCCCCTGCTCCCTCCCTGTCAAGTTTCTTCTGTATTTAAGATTCTGGTATGCTCTCAGATACTTAAACCTATACTGTTGGGCTTTCCTATAGATCCCTTTAATTGACAGGAAAGACATACACGTAGATACCAAAAGTAAAGCAAGGTTTCGACAGATACCTGCAAAAACTTAACAATATACCCCAACATAAATCCCATACCTCTGTAACTTTGGTGAAATACAAAATACAGAAAAAAGCCTGAAACAAAATATAGTGAGTCAGTCAGAAAGACGTCTAATCTCAAAATTTTAACTACTTTACCAGTCCTTAAGTAAAAATTATTTGCATAGTTCTTTCAGGAACAGCTGAAATAGTAATGTCTGTCTTTCATCAGATTTGTACACTTTATCTCCTCTAATTTTCTTTCCCCTAAAACGACCCTATTTTACTCACAGCAGGAAAGACATAGTCCCTGCTGTGCCCAGTTGCCTTTGGGGAGAGCAACAGAATTATAGAAACAGCAAGAACAACGTGTAAACATCATAAGAGGAGAAGCCGAGGTGGGAAACATACAAGTTTTAACTAGTCAGGGTTTTTTGTTTAGTATACACCGAAATGTCTACACCTTAATTACTGCTTAAAAACTAGAAAACAACATTCACAATAGCTTACTAAGGAACAACTAAACAACTTCTCCCAGAAGTTTCCTTGAAAAAATAATCTTGAAATAGACTATTATTTCTCTACATCTCATAACCAGAATGACTTTTTTCACCTAGAACAACCACATCTTCCATGGCAGACAAATTCAACAGAAGAGTAACGTTTTGGGCATCACTCATTTTAGAAGATATTTATGAGCTGAAATGAGGAGTGCAAGGGAAACTAAACACAGTTTTCGGTCTAAGCCATTCTTCAGGGAACCACATCTACACTTCAGAAAGAGAATATTGGAATAAAGAGTCAAAGTCTAAAGAGAAAGAATCAGCTAAGAAACAACATGGCCTGGTATGAAAAGCCCACTAGAAATTACGAAGTTATAGGTAGAAGTAGAATGTAATGCAGACAAAGACAAAGCTTTGAAGTAAGAACGGGACTCTGAACTTGTCTTTTGGGAGGAAGGACCTGTGTA